AAAAAATAAATGAAAACAAATCAAAAATTAAAAGAAATACGCGATAAGATAATAAAAAAAGAAAACAAAATTGACATAAAAATTCAAGTAATAAATAATGTACATTATTTAATACAAGAGAATTATCAATACAAAGACAGAAAAGTTTAAAAAACAAAACTTGAGTTAAAAAACTACGAACACGTTCTTAAATGAGGAATTATCGAACCAAAATTGTCTTAAAATTCATGTTTTTGCGTCTTAATAGAACATTTTGTACGAAAAAAACTATTACAATTGTTATTTTTATGTTACAACTGCAAAATTGCAAAATATTTTTGCTTTTTGTTTATTACAAACAAGTGAAAACATCTTAGCTGACACACCTTGTGTAATAAAAACAAAATAAATCAGCAGCAATTTATCGATTTCCCTAAAAAAGGTTAAAAAGTAAAACAAAGTGACACAAAAATTAAAGGAGAAACGCGAAGAGGAAAGACAAATAACAGACAAATTTGACCAAAATACATACAAAAAAAGAAGGAAAAGAAATAAAAAAAAAGAAAGAATAGAACTCAAGTGTGAATAAAAGAAAAAAGGAAAAAAATTGACACAAGAAGCTAAAAATAATAAAGTAGCACAAGAAGATCATGGAAAAAACATCAAAATACAGACGACAAAAAGTTGAAAAAAATTGAGCTAAAAAAATACGAAAAATGTTTTTAAATTAGAAATTATCAAACAGAAATTTGCTTAAAACTCAAGTTTTTGCATCTAAATAGAAGATTTTGTACTAAAATTGAGTTTTTTATGTTACAACCGCAAAAATGAAAAATATTTTTGATTTTTGTCATAAATGGTAATAATAAATCAGCAACAATTGAATCGTTTTTCTGAAAGGGAGTAAAAAGTAAAACAAAATATGTGCGGGAAGAGAAGAGAAAAATAACAGACAAAAGGCAATAATTAGACACATGAGAATTATCAAAAAAAATATATATATATCAAACTACAAAGCTAACAAAGTTGAAAAAATAAAAATTATGTTAAAAAGGCCATTCCGAGGGTGTTTCTGTACAAAAAATAATTGCTTAATAACATTATTTTGACTTTTTTAATTATAAAATAATTGTGCTTTAATAATTAATTAATATTATACATATTTTGCAAAGATAAATGTAAATCTAGTAGTGTGAAAATACACCAAAAATAAGTCAATAAATCGTTTGTCCTGAAATATGATTTCTAGGAAAAATATATTGAATTTTCTTGAAGGAAATTTTTAAGACGATCTATTCAGGAATTCAGGAATACGCCTCTAAAGGGATTAATAAACGCTTCGAATAATTCACCACAAAAAAAAGGAATTTTGCTGGCGTTACTTGCATTTCTTTCTGAAGAGATTATCTAGTGGAAACTTAAATATTATTTGAAAAAATTTCATTTGCATTTTTTAAAAGATGTTTTATGCGTGGTTTAATTTTTTTCTAGTTTAGATTTTTCGATAAGAAATAACTCTGAATTTGTATAATAATGTTAGTTACACTTATCATCTTGTTACGATTTTTTAAATTTAATTTATTTCGCTTTTTCTAGATCGATTAATGGCAAATAAAAATGTCAATGTCAGCTTTAATTTTCCATAAAAGTTTATGTTTGGACGAATCAAAACGCTATTCCGTAGCCAATCAGATTTTAGTATTTTGACGTCATATCAGACGAATCAATGGATTGTTTAATCGTACGATTGTAAAGGGCGCAAAAATGGTGAAGGTGAAATTGTGTAGTTATTTTGTGACGTTGCGAATGGCGGGATTACGCAACAAAACTGTTACATGGATCTTGCCGTTTTTTGTGAGAAAAAATACCTTTTAAGGAATGAATCAGTCTTAACCTTGCTCCCATACGAGTTAATCAAATTGTAATAATGGTCCGAATAAATTACTTATTTCGTGGTTCAGTGCCAAACTGTAGAAATGGGGGCTGTTATATCACTGCGTGCGTGTTGGGTATTTTCGAGTGCCTAATAGACATTTAATAGTATTGCTGTGTATTACTAGAAGTATTTGTGCATTACTGGAATTCTTTTTGGTTTTGTGAGAGTTATTTTTCTTAAAGTCGAATTTCTAAGAACTAACGTAATTAATTTGGAATTACTGGAATTTCGGTGGATCTTTTTGGAATAACTAAATGAGTTGTACACATTTTTTTTAATTAGGAGCCCCTTGTTGGTCACTTTCCTTTCTGGAATTAAGGTGGAAAAAATTACTTTCTGTTAGGGTCCTAGGAATTTTTTTTTATTTTATTTACTTTCCTAGTTATGATTTTCATAAATTTGTCAAAATGAAAAATAAAATGTAATACTTTTTTCACTTAAAACCGACAACATTGGGAATTTAGAATACACCTATTATGGTGCATTATTGATTAATCTTCCCAGAATTCATTGTATTGTGATTTTAACCTATTGATTTTCTTGTAAATTCTTCCAAAGCCAATTAACAATGTTTCTCGCATTATTTTTCACTTTTCCATAAAATAGGTTAAAAAAACAGTTAACTAAAAATAGTAAAAAAAGTTTACCACTTCATAAAACAAAGCCAAAAATAAGATCATTTCTCGGAAGAAAATAGACTTCTCAAGCATTTATTTCATGTAGAAATTCGCACCCAATTATGTAGATTACACTGCTTCAGGTATACACTACACATAATAAAAAGAAAACTAGTACGAAACATTTCGTAAAAATCGGTCGCACCATTCGGGCGCAAAATGTTTTCCAAATAAGTAGGATAAGGAAAGCCGTGTGATGTTCACACCAGATTTTCAATAACAATTAATTTTCGACTTACGTGCATGTCGAGCTTGTCGATCTCCGACAGGACCCACCCCACCGACCCGTCCCCGCTGCAAACCAGAATCCTGAAAGGATCAAAGTGTCGAAAAAGCCTTAAACCTAATCTGGGCCCAGTAGAAATGAGATCGAAAACTTGTGCAGGATTGAGTAATTGTTTGAACCGTCGTAGAAACTTTACGCCTTGATTATCACCTGAGCAAAGAAAAAGCGTCAATTAAGCGAAAAATTGGTTCGGAAAAGTCCTCATTACCTGATTTGGAATTAACGAAGACTAGAAGCGGTGAAGAGGCTTGCGGTCTGACGACTTCCCAGGCCTCGTCGTGGATGGCGTGGAGGGCCGTGGGGGGCACCACACTCACCCTCGCCGGCCCCAGGGGGCACGACGGAGGGAGATTCGGTCTGCATTGGGTGTGAACTGTGGCGCGACACCACAGACACCGCCAATCTTGTAATCTGGAACGAAACAATCCTCAAACATCATAGGCCCCCCCTAAGACATTTTTTCAGAATAAGTTTTATTTTATTCCGTTTTCTTTCCAATTTTGTTGTGAAAAGCAACCATTGTGATATATCATCATTTTAGTTGTCAAATGTGTTTAATTTTATCACAAGTTATAAAATATGACATTATTTAATCACTAGTGTTAAAAAGTGTGACATAAAGAAAACAAATAACACTATTTCACTAGTATGATTTTGGAAAATTATTGAAATCACAGATTTTAAATTCGAATTTTCACAACCAAATTGGAAAAAATCTTGTAACACGATTCAAAATGGCTGTTTTTTTCACACGTCTTGTAAAAAACACGCTCATTTTACAACTTCTTGCATAAATAGCTAACATTTTCTTTAAACAATTTTTTTCATAGACGATTTTGGTTGCGAAAAACGAAATTTAAAACTTTTATTTCTTTTAATTTTTGTATTTCTATTGTTTTTTTGAATGTATTTTGAAAGAGTTTTTATTTTATGTTTTGATTTCCAATTCCCATTTTTCTTAGTATTTATTAGTTCATGTTATGTACTGATTTGTGTTATTTTTGCTTAACTTTTTTTATTTTTTATATTTTTTTTAACTTTTACACTTTTATACTCCAATTTATGGTTTTATGGTCTTACGGTTCACTTAAAATTTCCGTTGGAAAAAATATGGTTTTATGTTCCTATTTTGTGTTTGTAATAAAATATGTATTTTTAAACTGCCATGAGGTTGCCCCTCTCTGAAAAAAATTGTAACGACGCCCATGCTCAAACTACACTCGCCGCCAAAATTAATCGGACTACTAAAATTTTGCGATTTTGACAAATTTTTGTTTGGCTTAAAGAAAACTGTGTAGATCATTGTAATTTAATTCAATAATATTTCTAGTTTTGTCTTTTAAATGTGATACTCAAAAGACGAAGGCACTGCTTTTTTTACTTAATTTTAAGTTTTTACTGTTTTCAGATTATTACCCATTCTTTTCTGAATTATGTATCACATTTTTCATAATTTTAATTCTTGAGACATGGGAGATATAAACCTTAAAAAAAAACATTGTATACAAAAATTTACTTTTGTGTTTTATGGATTGTATAATCATTTTTTTGTTGATTGTAATTTTTTCCAAGAACTAGACCAAAAACATTATAACATTTTATAAGCAAATATAATTTTATTTATTAGAAAAAATAAATATTTTTCATCTAGTCAGACAAATTTTTCGTCCAAATTTATTGCATTTGGAATTTTTTTTTAAAATCAAAATCATGAGTATCACCTACTTTTAAATCCCCTTGTTGATCAAAATCAAATCGAAATGGACTTGAAATTAAATAATTTTTATCAAATGAGTCTAGAAATTGGAGACACGGTGCAGGCGAATTAATGGAAGTGGTAAAGATTAACTCAAAACGAGTAATTCTTTTATAATTCTGCAACAAGGATGGAACAAAATTTGGTAACAATTTTTTGTCTTTATAATAACTCGTTATTTCAAAGAGTTTTCCACAAATTATGGAATTTGGGGTTTGGGGTATATTACTATCAATCAACGCTGATGACGATATTTCCGATTTCAATCAATATTCGTATTAAGGTTGAACTATACTGAATAAAAAAATAAATCGCTATTTAAAAATTCCAAAAAAATTATCATAACTTTGTGATGGCTTTAGCAGTATTATATATTAATTTGAAATTTTTTGTCCCTGCCGTTTAAAAATAAATTTAAAAAACTCTATGTTTCTCCATTTTATTTTTTTATAAAAAAAACTGTACGGAAGAATTTTTTGATTTATTTTTGGTGTATTGTAGATTACCTACTTATGTTACTGTATTTTTTCATGTAATTTAAATAATGCGTTTTTTCATAAAAAAATAAAAACTATTGAATTTTGCAATCCGTTACAAATATTCAAAATGAGATAAAAACTCGGTGTTACTGTGTGTGTGAGGTACTTTTTTAATTCAGGAACAACATCCAATTGAAAAAAAAACAATTTGCTGTATTTCTTAAAAATTCAATTTTTCTTTTTTTCATTTGAAAACTTGTTTGAATGGATTTCTGTCAGTACACAAGCGACAAATTTTTCTGGTGGTACATTTTGGAACTGGCTAGAGACATGCTATCTATGGAACGGTAGTTTGAAAACTGTAATTTTGTAATTTTCTGCAAAAAGACTAAAAATTGCAAAAATTTCAAATAATAATTTTTAATAAATTATGTAATATATTTTTTGTTTGTTCTGATTCATTTTATTATAACTATCATTGTGGCGTCACCATCTATTTATCTTTCTGTTTTTAGTCATCGAAATTAAAAGAAACAAAGCAAAATTAATTATTTGAAAATTGAGAAAAGTTTCGCACCTTCTGATCGATATGCTATTGTTAAATTAAATTTCTAATATTAGTGAAATGTATGTGACAAAATAAATTTACATTTGTATAAGATAAGATGCATACTACCAATATTTTGAATCGGGAAAAAAGCAATTTTGTTAAAAATTCAAATATAACTTAATAAATTCGTAACTAGATTACTTTGTTCTAAAAAAGAACTGCTCCTAAAATAAAATTTATAATGGAAATAAATAAAAGTGTAAACCTTAATTCCAAGGTTCCTTTATAGAATTCTAGGAAAAAAGAGAACGTTGGTTCAGGAGCTATCTGTCCGGGATTCCCTAATTTTGCGAACAAAAAGCAAAGATTTCTCCTACGAATATTAAGATTTTCTGATCCTAGCTACAATAATGTTAAATTTATTGCGTTTTCTTATTAAACGTACAAAATTACCTTTCTCGGATGGTTGCAATAAAAAATACCTTTTTCCACTCATATTGAATTTTATTTTTATTGTTTTGACTAATTTGTATCGAGAGATCAAGATAATTTGTAATCGAATTATACTTGGATTCGAAAACGGATGTCTGTGAAACATCAAATAAAATGTAAAATGACAGATCGAAAAATAAAATGGCATGGTCAAAAAGATGACGATTATAGAGAGTATAACAATAAATAGTAGTTAATTATTCATGTAAATTAAAAATTGTTGGTTCTAGTATGACCAACATTATATTATATAAATTTTCTTTGACTTCTTCTTTTGGCATTTCCATTTAAAAACAAAACAGACTTTACCTTTTTTTGTAGCTTACTTTCTGAGTAACATTAGAAAAGCAACGTTTTTTTCAATGCTTTGTACCTCTGGGGATAAAATTTTGAAACAAATTGGTCCGTATTCAGAAAAGAACGGGCAATTTTTTGAATTAAGTAAAAACTTAATCTCTCTGTGTCTGTTGCACATTACAGCTCAGTGTAAAAAAAGTAAAAAAACAGTGCTTTTGTCTTTTAGGTTTATACCTAAACAAGACAAAACTAGAAATTACAATGATCTATAATTTTTTTTCTTTAAACTAAAGAAATTCGTCGAAATCCGACAAAGAGTAGGTAACAAAAATACCGGGTGGGGCATCCGTTACGCCCAAAAAGAAAATCCCCACTTCTAATTAAATAAAATTGTTGAATTTTTTCACACTTACCTGGGCATTAGTAAGGTACATTCTCTAATTTTTTGGTAATTTTTCATTCACAAACAAAGCCAAAAAAAAGTAATTTTCTCCCAAAAAGTTTAATTCTAATTTTTATACTGACCTACGCAGATCACTTCCTACAATTGTTTACAAAATCAGAAAAAAAATACCAATTAGATTTTGAATTAAACGCAATTTTTGATCTTAACTTTGAAAATCATTTTTATTTATGACCTGCTACTTGTGCCATCGTAAATAAGATAAGATTCCAAGGTTTACAACAAAAAGACCCTTTAAAGCGGTCGGCTACCAGTAAATGATTCTTTTGTTGGCAAATTATACCATTTTGTTATAAATCACGAGTCTTGTTTGTGTTTAAATAAAAAAAAAGCGATTATTTGACTAACCAAGTCAAAATTTGAAATTGTGATATCAAACTTTGATGTACTGATAGGTATAGATTCATTTAGTGTAAAAACTTTATAGGTAAATTAACAGAAAGTATTCATAAAACACACAAAACTGTTACGGACTCATTTATTATCCAAAAAAATTAGAAAAATTCTCAAATTATAACCTATCAATAATTAGTTAGGTATATGAAATATCGCCAGTTTTAATTAATTTGAAGTCGCGATTTATCAAGTGCGCGTAACCGACGTCCCACCCGGTATTGCAAAGTGAAAAATTGCAAAATTTTAATTGTCCGGTTAATTTTGGCGGCCAATGTAGTTCAGGGGGTGGAAATTAGGTGCGAGTTTTAGCAAAATTCGGTGTTGTCTATCAGCAAAATGCAGAAGTGTTTGATCAAAAAACGTGCTATTGTTTAAGTGAATTACAAGTTGTAGAAAGTTTTAGTGGTTTTCTATTGGAAAAACAAGCCATTTCTGCCAACCACAAGTGCGTTTGATTCGGTGGATCTTGCAAAGAAAGTCACAAACAGATCGATCATCACCAACAATTGCCAATTTACGTGCAGCATTGTTGCCAAACTCGTATAACGAAGTTTTCTGTTTGGTATTTGTACAATGCGAAAATATGTTCGTATTGTAAAACAAGCGAGAAAATTGCTTACCTAAGTACGGAACCGCAGGTTTTATCACAAACAGCGCATTTGGCTGAAACTGGCAAATTTCCTTCCATCCACTGATGCGGCATTGTAATATTCTGAAAGAAAAGTTCAGGTTATTGTGTAGGCATCCAACACAACGTAAACATAACAGATAGGGCATGATATTACCACTGCGACATTGTTGTATGTTTTATCACTCCCTGGAGTACGTCTAACCCTAACTTTGGGTTGCAGAAACTTGATGTTGATTTATTATACCTGTTCATTGGGGGGATCATAACTTTGACAGCTTCTTTGTTGAAAAACATTATTTATGCCTTGACCATACAGTTTATTTGGTTATCACGCAAAAAAAACATTGTAAACAGACTGGGCGATAAAACCCACGATTCACCTTTCTAAAAGGTGCCTAGAGGAATTATAACATTATTTTCTTTTTTAATAATTGAAGTTTATTTACTTTAATGAAACAATATGTCTAAAAGCTCCTGCGTTTTAAGATTTGTTTTGTTTGAATTAATTATTTAATTAATTTTATTTCTATTGTTTATTCCAATTTGAAACAATGTCAATTTTGGTGGATGCGCCGGGTTATTTAAAAATATGTGGATTTAAACTGGAATTAAAATTAAATATTTTATAGTGTTTTATGTATTGCTTTAATAAATACATATTTGATTATTAACAAAGCTTTTTGAAGCATGAAAAAATGATTATAAACATGAATATTGTGCTTAAATTTTGAAGCAAATTTATTATATAGGGTGTCCCAGCGAGTTGAAAAAGTCCATTAGTGACCTTTGAATAGTAAAATTTAAAAAAATTATATGGGACTGTGCATACTAAATTAGTTCATCGCCTGAAATTATTTTCAACTATACAGCATGTTCCAAATATAAGTTATGATTAAAACATGCGTTTTTTTAAATGATGTAGCCTTTTAAAACAATGTTTTTACACTAAACTTATATTAATTTTAGAAATCTGACGTTTGTTTTGACGAAAACATGTACTTTTTAAAAATTTATTACACAAAAACAGCTAGAAAAAATTTTTTCTTACTTTTGCAAAGAAGAAAATTCCGAGTTTAAAGCTGTAGCACTTTTTTAGTGTTTTGCATTTGTAAAGATTAATAAATTAAAAAGTTTGTTAAAAGTTAAATAACTTGAAAAATTTTAATGGAACACCCTATTTTTTATTTTTGCATCTAATAGATAGATAAATTGTCTATCTAAAAAAATAAACTTTTAATGTCTATAATTGATAAATGACATTCAATAATTGTAGTTGATATATCCAGAAATTGTAAAAGTCGTTATAAATACTGAAATTCGAATTTTTTTTATTGTAAAAATTTCTTGTGCAACTGTGCACTTTTTGGCTACTGAAACAATGGTAATTATTTTTTTAATGTTTAACGTTAAATATCTTTTTAGTTATTGATTATAATAAACACCTAAAAGTAAATAATTTTAGAAAGACAATTTAATAATCTTTTAAATGCAAAAACAATAAATAGGGTGTTCTTTTAACAAACGCCCTCATTTTTTTATCTTTGTAAATGCAACACACCAAAAAAATGTTACAACCTTATAGCTTGTACCTTCTTCTTTGCGGTAGTAAAAAAAATATTTCTAGATCATAGTTTTTGTGTAATAGATTTCTAAAAAGTGCATTTTTTCGTCAAAAAACCGTCTTATGTTTAAAACTAAGCAAAATCGACCAATAAAAGTTTAGCTTAAAAGATTTGTCATAAAAATCTACATCGCCAAAAAACATATGGTGTTTCATTTAAAAAAACACAAGTTTGTATTGTAACTTATTTTTGAGATACGCTGTATAGTTCAAAATAATTTTAGGCGATGGACTAGATAGTATCAAACAATGTCCTATATATATATTTTTAAATTTTCTAATTTAAAGGTCACTAGTGGACTTTTTCAACTCGCTGGGACACCCTGTATGCAAATACTTTAACTCATGACGACCACAAGAAACAAAGAAATGAAAGTTGCAAAACAAACAAAATAAAATAAAACGAAAATTAAAAAATAACGATTTTGTGTCATTTTACAACGAAATTTTTTTGAAGCTTAAATTAAAAAGATTCGATAATACAAGTTTTGTGCATAAAATTTTAATTACAAAATCATTTTTACCACACAATTTAATAACGTCTCAGCGAGTTAGTAAAGTTCATTATTTTAAATAATAAGATTTTAAAAAATTGCGCATTGTCTGAAATTGTTTTCAACTATACAGCGTGTTCCAGAAATAAGTTACAATATGAATTTATGATATTTTAAAGAAACCCCATATGTTTTTTTGGCATTTCGGAATGTAGCTTTTTATTAGGAGTATAATGTTTCTAAGCAAAAATTTTATTGGTCGATTTTGCTTAGTTTTTGAAATTTAATTATTTTTTTGCCGAAAACATTTTATTTCACAAAACATTTTTTGCAAATAGGAAGAAAGTACTTTAATACTATTAAAAAAATCAAGAAATTTTTTAAAAGTCAAATAACTTAAATTTTTCTTGATGGAACACCCTATTTTTGTTTCTGCTTCTGAGAGATTATTTAATTATCTTTCAAAAAACATTTACTTTTTAAGTGCCTTCAATTAATAATTAATAAAATATTTTATAATAAACATTATTTCGATAGCCAAAAAATGTGTACATTATTTGAAAAACTAAGCAAAATCAACCAATAGAAATTTAGCTTAAGAATATTGAAATTAAAAGCCACATAAAAATGCAAACGAACAAGAATACATGTTTGTATTGAAGCTTATTTTTGGGTCACGCTGTATAGTTGAAAATAATTTCAGACGATACAATAGATTAGTATTTATAATTATCAAGTGACTACATTTTTTAAAATTTTAAAAGTGAACTTTAGCAACTCACTGGGACCCCTACATACATTTATTATTAAGGAAGTATTTTTGAACTCAAACTTCAATGTTTATTTTTTTCAAAATAAAATCCTAAGTGTATTTTTATTTTGAATTTTTAACGATTTCTCGGTTGCAAATTTATTGCAGTAAATTGTAATAAAACCAAGCTTTTTTGGGTCAGTTCCCTAAAGCCCCCATTAAAACACAGTCGATGTAGCAGGATGTGAATAGTTTATTGTTTCTACGACTGCTCCACTAGAGCGAAATACAGATACTCGATTATAGTTTCATGGTGGTATGAAACTGTTAGTTATCTATTATTTTATTCAACACAGTTTCGCCAGGAAGTCGATATAAAAGGGTGCAGCAACAGCATGCGGCTTGTGAGCGTTTATCAATAATACATTGACCTAAATTATTACAAACGTGACGTAACTATTGGCGAGATAAACCCAAAAATGACTGTTTTACAATTAAAAGTTACAAAGAGGCCATAGAACAGTGTTAGCTTTAATAACGTGCAAAACAATAACTCATTTACTGTTAATATTCGCTGTTAAACTTTGTATTATACATAATTATATTTAGTTGTTTAATTTACAAACATAATTCAAATTGTAGATTTATTTTAAGGGTTATTACATACGAGTATATTGAAATGTGAAATTAATACTTGTAACTAGAAATTATTATTAATTTGTAACAAAAATGGGCTTAAAAGTGGGGCCGCTTCTGAATTAAAGTTGTAATCCGACCTTATACGACTTCCATTTATTTAGAATTCAGGAGAATCGCTTTTATAGAACTGCCCGAAATGAAATCTTTTATGAAACGAACGTACAAAAAAGCTGAAACTTGGATATTTTTGGGATAACTTTATGGTGAAACTTACACAGACTCGGTTTGTATATTTTAATGAAACAACAACATGTCTAAAAGCACCAACGTTTTAAGATTTGTTTTGTTTAAATTAATTAATTAATTAATTAATTTTATGTCTATTGTTTATTCCAATTTGTATTCAATTTTGGTGGATGCGCCGGGTTATTTAAAAAATATGTGAATTTAACTGGAATTAAAATTAAATACTTTATAGTATTCGATATTTGATTATTAACAAAGCTTTTTGATGCATCAAAATAATGATTATAAACATGAATATTGTTCAGCATATTAATTTACAGGTGTCCCAGGGAGCTGAAAAAGTCTATTAGTGACTTTAAATGGAAAAATTAAAAAAAATTATTATCTAGTCCATCGTGTAAAATTATTCTAACTATACAGCGTGTCTCAAAAATAAGTTACAATACAAACTTGTGTTTTTTTTAAATGAAACACCATATGTTTCTTAGCGTTTTTGGATGTAGATTTTTATGACAATGTTTTTAAGCTAAACTTTTATTGGTCGATTTTGCTTATTTTTAAAAATAACACGGTTTATTTGACAAAAAACAGCACTTTTTAAAAATCTATTACACAAAAACTGAGACATCGAGAAATATTTTTTACTACCTCAAAGAAGAAGATAAAAACTAAGCAAAATCGACCAATAAAAATTTTGCTTAGAAACATTATACTCCTAATAAAAAGCTACATTCCGAAATGCCAAAAAACATATGGGGTTTCTTTAAAAAATCATAAATTCATATTGTAACTTATTTCTGGAACACGCTGTATAGTTGAAAACAATTTCAGACAATGCGCAATTTTTTTAAATTTTATTATTTAAAATAATGAACTTTACTAACTCACTGAGACGTTATTAAATTGTGTGGTAAAAATGATTTTGTAATTAAAATTTTATGCACAAAACTTGTATTATCGAATCTTTTTAATTTAAGCTTCAAAAAAAATTTCGTTGTAAAATGACACAAAATCGTTATTTTTTAATTTTCGTTTTATTTTATTTTGTTTGTTTTGCAACTTTCATTTCTTTGTTTTTTGTGGTCGTCATGAGTTAAAGTATTTGCATACAGGGTGTCCCAGCGAATTGAAAAAGTCCACTAGTGACCTTTAAATTAAAAAATTAAAAAATATATATATAGGACATTGTTTGATACTATCTAGTCCATCGCCTAAAATTATTTTGAACTATACAGCGTATCCCAAAAATAAGTTACAATACAAACTTGTGTTTTTTTAAATGAAACACCATATGTTTTTTGGCGATGTAGATTTTTATGACAAATCTTTTAAGCTAAATTTTTATTGGTCGATTTTGCTTAGTTTTAAACATAAGACGGTTTTTTGACGAAAAAATGCACTTTTTAGAAATTTATTACACAAAAACTAAGATCTAGAAATATTTTTTTTATTACCGCAAAGAAGAAGGTACAAGCTATAAGGTTGTAACATTTTTTTAGTGTGTTGCATTTGCAAAGATGAAAAAATGAAGGCGTTTGTTAAAAGTTCAATAACTTAAAAAAATTTAATGGAACACCCTATTTATTGTTTTTGCATTTAAAAGATTATTAAATTGTCTTTCTAAAATTATTTACTTTTAGGTGTTTATAATCAATAATTAAAAAGATTTTTAACGTTAAACATTAAAAAAATATATTACTAATGTTTGCAAAAAAGTGCACAGTTGCACAAGAGATGGAAGAAATATCATTTAATAATCACATTTGTGTTAAACTTAATCCATTTTTCTTTATTTTTACAATAAAATAATTCCAATTTCAATATTTATAATGACTTTTACAAAATTTTATCATTTAAAGGACTTTTTCAACTCGCTGAGACACCCTGTATGTTTAACAGGTTTTTGCTAGTATGAATTTTGTTGTAGGATGGAATTATTGAGAAAGCACAAGGAATGAATTAGTAAACGTAGCATAAAGCAACAATATCTAAAGATCAATTATTGATGCTTTTTTATAACAAATTAATTCAATTAAAAATCGACAATATGAAAAATCCGTGAATCGGGTTTTGTAACATCAAAAAATGAGGTTGTTGATCAAGAACTTTCTAGAAACTCTCTGAAAGATTTAAAAGCTTGATTGATTGTTCTACGACCCAGTCATCAAAATTTTAGTTTTCTTTGCTTGACTTAATGACCTTTAGTTTTACCTTTACACAAAGAAAAACTGAACAAAAAGGTCAGTTACCAGAAATATGAACTCATCTTTTTTCTCTCAATTCTCATAATTGAAGTTTTTGTGTCCTCTCGTAAGAAAAAGCGATTTCTTTGTTACTTTCGCTTTTATATTGTCATTTTCTGGTTCGCTGCCTGCCGAAATTTAAATCATCCATCAGAGCTTTCCATTTAAATTTAAAAATTTGCGATTTCTTTCTCAGTTTACGAAAGCGTCTAATGCAACATCATTTTTACTTTCCTTATCCTATAAGAAAAGTATTGTATTTGTTCTCAAGAACGATAAGAGCTAGAAACTTGAAATTTGGTGTGTAAGTTTCTTGTAAGAAGGGAAATTTCCACAAAAAGCTTATGATATTATCTTATCAAAAATATCTGATCAATTTTTGAAAACAATTTTTATTTATGAAAAATTTTATTTTTTTTGCAAAAAACAGCTGAAAGGATAACAAGTAAATGTTAAATGACAAAGTATCTTACAAAACTTTAAAAGTTATTTTACATAACTGTTTTGTTTAATTTA